CTCTAGCTGCAAACTAAAGTGCTCAAATGTTTGTATTAGTTATTTGCTCTTCGCAAATGATTATTTACTATTTTGTGAAGCCACTCCTCAGCAGTTCCGAAATCTTAAAGCCATGCTAAATAGATTTGAAATATTATTAGGCCAACAAATCAATCTCTCCAAATCAGGTATACTTTTCAGTAACAATATACTTAGGAGGCATAGAAGAATCTTATCTTCAATTCTAGGTATTACAAATGTCAAGACCTACATGAAATACTTTGGCATCAAGATGGGGGGAAATAAGGCAGAAAAGGAGCAACAACAAGACTTACTTCATAAGCTAAAACTTCAATTAGAGTCTTCGTAAACAAAACTTCTCTCATAGGCAGGAAGGAATACATTAATACAATCAATAGCTCAAGTTGTTCCTATCTACACTATGAGCACAACTATCTTGCCAAAGAAGTTCTTTTAACACTATGATAAATTATGCAGGATTTTTTGGTGGACAGGCTCTTAAGATGGCTATAATTTTCATTCAATTTCATGGGAGAAACTATGTCAACCAAAGCAAAAGGAGGAATTGGTTTTAGACCAGGCCTAGAAATGGACAAGGCAATGTTCTCAAAACAAATTTAGAAGCTCATAAGTGATGAAAATTCTCTCTAGGCAAGCTTTTATCAAAGCTAAATACTACCCCAATATTTACTGGAGGGAAGCTTTCAAACTACTATCATCCATTAAAAGCAATATTTGCTAGGTCCTTCATGATGGTGAAAAGGTAAAGGCTTTTCAAGATCCTTGGTTTCCAATTTTTCCATGGGATCTTCAAGTTCCGCCACAATTAAAATATATGAAGGTCTCTTGTTTCTTAAATAATGATAGCAGTTGAAATTTGTCTCTACTTGGATAGTTCTTTTCTCCTACATCTTTAAAACAAGTTAAAAAAGTAAGACTCTTAAGTGAGATTCCAAGGGATAAGCTTGTCTGGTCCAGAACTCAAAGTGGAGTTTTTTCGATCAAATCCATTTATAAGGAATTCCTTTCTAATAGGCCTTCCTCATCAGATTCCTTTTTTAAATGGTCTATTCTATGGAAATTAAAAATACCATACAGGTATCAACTTTTTATATGGAAGGCTTTATGGAATGGAACTCCTGTCCAGAGCAAATTTCTCACAAGGAAAATGGAGGATAGATGTTATCTTTGCAATTCTCATCAGGAATCATTTCACCATATCTTCTTCCACTACCCGTTTTCTAGGGCTATCTGGTGTGGTACTCAACTAGGTATCAATCCAGAAAACATTCAACAAGAACCTCTTCACCTCATCATTCATTCTTGGTGGAACAGGCTCAAACTAACTATGAGTAAGAAGGAACTTGATCACTACTTTGCTAAACTCTGCATTACTTTGAGGCTTATATGGGACAAGCGAAACTCAAGGAAATTTCGGAATACATTCTCATCTCCTATACAGGTGCTAGAAAAATTAAAATTGCTATACAAAGAAAACCTTGAAAGCTCTTCCACTCATGGCTCATTTAAACCCTCATGCTTGCATGCTAGTGTATCTTATGCTATAGTGTCTAAGGAGAACCATCTAATATCTATAGAAGGAAATCCATGTCAAGCAGCTAGATGCCAAGATGTTGAGCTCCGTGCCATAATCAAAGGAAGCAGCGAAAAAGGAAGGATTCAAAAAAGTCTTTATATTTTCTAATGCAGCACAAGCGGTGACAAAAATCCAAAGTAAAGAATGCAGTGGCAACTGGGTCGAAACAATGCTTTTAGACTATATATACATTTTACAAAGATCCTTTGAGGAGGTTCAGATAGAACATGTTGGACGTGAGTAGAACACCATAGCTCATCTTTTTGCTTACTGATCTTGTATATATAATATTAATATTAGCTAAATATGTAATAGGTTGACAATCTCCCCTTCATATAAATAAATTTGCTAGCAATGCTAGCTTTCTATTGCTAAAAAAAAAAAAAAAAAGCTCTTCACATTATGAAATCTATGGCCACTCATCCCACACAAATCGTGATGAGCTTTGAGCCCAAATTACTACCTTCAATTCACAACGTAATGTTCCCAAGGTCCTCATTTTACTTGGTCTAATCAGAGATCCTCAGGTTTGGTTAGTAAACAACTTGACCGTGTTTATGTCACTCCTTTCTAGCTCTTACTAGGGCCTAGGGGTGGATTCGAGCTAAGTCGAGCCAAATATTTGGCTATTCAAGCTTGACTCACAGAAATAGTGTTAGGCTCGAGCTCGATTCGAGTTAGAGATTTGAGCTCAAGCTCAGCTCGGTTCAAAGCTCACAAGTTCAAGCTCGGTTAGTCTCAAGCTCAACTGTAAGCCAAGCTTTTTCTAAAAAATAAAAATTACACAAAATATTTTTTTATTTTACATACAAAAAATTAAGATTTATAAAAATTATTTACTATTATACATAAAAAATAAAAATATTATGTATACAAAATAAAAGTTATGCTCAATTAGGCTCATGAGCCTCACTAACCGAGCTTAATTGGGCTCAAGCTCGACTCAATTAGCAAACAAACCTATATATCGGGCTCAAACTCGACTCGAAGCTTGGTCTAAACCAAGCCAAGCCAAGCTCAAATATCTCGTGAGAAGCTTAGACATGGCCACCCCTAGCTCCTATAGTTCAATTCAACCTTAGTTTGGCACCTCCCTACAATTATCAATAACCTATATATCGGGCTCAAACTTGACCATTCTCTCTTTGCTGGCTAACCGCAACAGTCATAAACAACCTATCCGGTATGAAGCTTACTGGTTAAAAGAAGATTCTTATCCACTGTCAAAAGTGGCAGTAGATAGCTTCTCCTTGCTTAATTACCCCAATTCTGAGTTCCTGACTTCTCCTTGATTCACTCTCTCTCCTCAAAATACCATTCTTTAGACTCTCAACTTGCCACCTCATTAACGTTTTCCCTCTCCTATTGGATTATGTCATCTCTCTATAAATCACATTATAATATCACAGAAAAGTTGCCAAAAAATTAGTATTGTAATTGAGGGAAGTTGCCAAAAACTGGGAAATTGTCATATTTTAGATACGTAAACGAATTGGAACTTCCAATCTTAAAAATGGGGAGCTTCCAATCTAAAAGGACAATCTTTATCGTTTCATTCTCTTGAAGTAGTGCTTTCCTTCACTCTAGCATTTCATTCTCTTGGTCGCATCCCATGTTCTTCCAGCGTTTTTAGAGTCAACTCTCTTCCTTTCCACCCTTCTACCAAAAGTGAGAGAGAGCAAGGAGGCATCCATTTTTGGATCCAACTCCGAGTGCAGTCAAAGCTGGAGCTCTGCAAATACATCTCAATCTACAAAACATCTCACCATGTGCATCACTGCGACCAAAACACTATGCAACCTTTGACTTTGTTATTTCATTCTGTTGTCATTTTCTTTCATGTTTTATTATTCTTTTTATTTCAAGTTTTGGCAATTAACAGATTTTCGCATCTATGTTCACTCCCGTTACTTGCAGAGATATTCGTCTCATGCTTACGTCCAATTTCTTTCAAGTAAAAACAAAAAACAAAATTGAGAGATGGAGACATGTAAGCGCCCCCTCATTCTTATCCCTTCATTGTTCTTCTTTGGCTAATTCAGCATTGACTTGCAATTCCTTTCTCTAAATTCCTTCTAAATCACCTGTAATTAACTGACTCAACAATGACTTTCAATTTGTTTTTATAACTCCTAAATCAGTATCCATTAACGGCTAAGCAGTGACTTGCAAGCATGAGATTTCTCCTTTCTTTTTCCTCTGCAAGTCTTTGAGATCACCCAGACTTCGGTTGCAGGTTACAACGTCTTCACCTGCTTCAGCATGGTCACCATGAAACAAATTTTCGGTGGCAACAATAGATGGACAGTGGAAGAAACATTAGTGGAAATCGGATAATTGGTGAGAGTGAGACGTTATTGTTGTTGCTGCTGTAATCATCGGCTCGCAATTGTTTCAGCTAGGTGAGCGCTCTATTCAATGTGTTCACAGCACAGTCACCGAAAATGTGCTCTGCCAAGCTGCCGACTTGGTGTAGATGCTACAACTCCATAGGGCCTTTCTAGAGTCACTTGGGCGATCACTCACAAAAGCCGGCAGCTCTCACTAACCAACAAACTGCCCTGAACATCTTGGTGGGTACCTCTATGACCAATGAAGAACCACAACCCATGGACAGTTCTACTTATTCCAGTAAGGTGCAGAAACGGGAGCATGTCCCTTCATTGGTTGCAACCCACAATGACTCTGGAGATCCCTCTATTGATGCTGATCCATAGATGGTTCTACTTATTCCACTCCTGCATGGTCTTCTTCCCTCTTTAAAAATTGATCCTACTTAAACCAATAAACCCTTTAAATTCCACAATCCAGCTACTTTGAATTATATGGTTAACTCAAAAGTCTAATGTAATAAAAACACAGAGAGAGAGAGAGAAGGGATAATGGATAACCACATTCCATGTAGCAAAGAAGTTGTAAAACTGTTCTAGTTCATGGTTATATAAGATAGTTGAGTATAAACTCTTGTAATTCATGATTATAAAAGATAGTTGAGTAGTTGGATAACAGTACATGGTAGGATAAAATTATCACCCCATACTGAATAAAACCACATAGAAACTCCTAACTTTGACGGTTCGGTGGCAACAGAGCTCATGTCTTTCAAAGCATACAATATATTTATTGATGATTCATACACTTTATATGCTGAAAATGAATTTCAAGGAGGATATGATTCAACCAACTAGAATTGGAATAGAGGAATAAAAGTGAATTGAAGGATATAAAAAGAATTAAATGAAACCTGCATAATTTTATAATGGATATGGCACTGAATAGAACAACATGGCTAAACAGGATTAGTGTAGCTGAGCTCATATAGTTGGGACAAGGCTTAGATGATGATGATGATGATGAAACTGGCAGGGGGGGGGGGGGGAAGGTAGAAAGCTACATTATCATATTGCATACCTACCACATGTCACTGTGGATAAGTATATTATACTGCATAGTGCATACTTCATTACATGAATCTCAAAAGACCAACATATAGCTTCATACTCATGGACTCTGTTGATGGAACAAGAACATTGTAAAGCCTTACTCTGTACATTTGTTAATTTCCAAGAAATAATAAAATTAGGACATATATTCTCGAGAAGCCCACCTATCTTCATACCTCCCAAATGAAAACCCGACAGGTGGAACCTCAGACAGATGGAGTGGATCTGGTTCTATCCCATAATCTGTCAGTGGCCTATGCTCAAGAACATCATCATGATTTTGCACAAAATCAGGAATATCAATCTCATCCTTCTTTACATCTTCCCAAAGGTACTGGAGACGGCTAACATACTTGATTTTCCAATATAAACTACAAAAAGGCAGCAGATAAAATTTTTAAGTCTACAGTTACCTATAATGGCAATAATTATCAGTATATAGCTGATCAGAAAAAAACTAAATTCAAGTTTTCTATCTAAAAACCTCCAGGTATCAAGTCCTCACCCCCCACTTAAAAAGAATCGGCCAAGAGTTGCAAAGACTAGCCTTGAACGGATTCCTGGATGCAGGAAATACACAATACGAAGCCTCTCCTTGTAGACAGTGGAAAGTTCTTCATAAATCCACCTCAAGATGGTCAAACCAGGGTAATTATCTTCCTTTTGCACTGCACTATGCATATAAACAATGCAGAATGGTCCTTCAGGCAATTCAGTGAAGATCTTGTGGAAAATGTACTTCTTCAGCCGTTCTCCACTCACAACTGGAGCTGCATATCATGAATAAAACCAGGTACATTTAGGCATGTCATCATCCCAAAAAGTTGTTCATTCAAGCAATTCATTCTCAACATTTTCCAGATAAGCATCGTCTACAAGTTAACCAAGTGGCAGAAACAGAAAAGTCTTAATGTTCACCTTATGGGCTCGAACCAAAAACAAATAAGAATTTCCTGCAGTGCTAAATTCCATGAAACATGAAAACTAGAGAAAGAACTTAACACTACAAAAAAAAAAAAACATCTGAAGAAAGCAGTGAGAAACTCTGCAATTTATCAAGGGGAAGGCTACATATCAGAAAATTATGGCCAAGATATGTCTTCAAATTAAGATATAAACTGTTAAATATGATAGTAAAATGCCTTAACTAGTAACTAGAAAATGAAGAACAAATTTCCTACAATATTATATTCCAAAAACTTCATTTTGAAAATCTTCCTGCATATATATTGATAACCTCTTCAACTTGGATAGCTAAATTTCCAAAAATTGCAATACCAAGAGAAGAGAAAAAAGAGTAATAAGAAATAGAAACAACTAAAAGGAACCAACCCCCCCCCCCCCCCAAGTATAACGAAACACAAGCTCAAACCTAAGTACCTAACCATGAAAAGGAGGGGGAGGGAGAGAAGAAGCCAATTTCCTACAATAAACTTCAAGGAGGTAAAAAAAATTCCAGTTTATGAGCTGACCCCTTGAAAGTCTTTTCAACCCGATTCAAGCAGATGGGTTTAGAGTTCAGATGCCTAATTTGAAGCAAATAAATAAAAGAAAGAAACCTTTAACCTTTATCCCAAAAAAAGGGTTATTGGAAGACCCTTAGAATGAAAATGGGTTCTAAATTACAACTTGTAACCACCACCATCCCCAGACATCCATACAAATTACAGATGAAATAGAACGAGCTTTAATGGGAGGTTTGTCGTGTGTGTGTGTGTAGAGAGAGAGAGAGAGAGACCTGGAAAGTACTTTCCGACGATGCGGACGATACGATTGCCAGACTTATCGGTGCCTTGAACACGGAAGAGCTGTAACGCATCGAGGTCGGAAAAGTCTTCATCGGAAAGGTAAGAAGGGCAATCATGCCAGGTCTCCTCCTCTCTGTTATTATTTTCTTCTTCTCGATCAGATGCCGTCAAGAAGGGCCGAGCGTCGATGCCCAGATCTGACGCTAACACCAACACCGAGAAGTCGCCCGATGAACTCCCCATCTCTCTCTCTCTCAAACACGCACACGCAGAGTAACAGGAGCACACCACAGTGGACCTAACGAGGATTTTCAGACGGAAATATGATTGCGAACTTTGCGATATTGATGATCTATTTATTCCTTTACCTATATTAATATTGTACTTCGAAGACATTTATACCGTTGAAGTAGCTCAAAATGGAAGATCATGTCTACGAGGGCCGTAATCCAACGGGCTAAAATAACCAAAGTCTCGAATGAAGGATAATAAACTACTTTCCTGCATGTGATGTGATCAGGTCGAGTTCAGTCTTGCTACGTCGTAGTTTTAGTGTAAATTTCTTAAACTATTTGTTTCGTTAATTGACTAATAGCATGTTCATTTTCTCTTAATTCTTTTTTAAGAATCTTTTAATTTTAAGATAAAATTAGTTGTTTGTTTTAGTGCGGTCAAAATGGATATTTGATCATTTTTAAAATTCAAAACAACATTTTATATTAACCAATACCAATATTGTACTTTCAGATATAATTATTGTAGTTTCATTAGACTCAGAGCAAATGAATAGGCCCTAAGTGTACCCTTATAGTTTAAAAATTGACAAATACTACCCTATTGTTTCTTGTTTCCAATAATTAACTAATCCTTTTTAAGCATTAAGGTCCGTCAGCAGAGATATGAAAAAGACTATTTTAGGGATAATGACCAGTATTTCAGATACTCACATATGATTTGACCCCATATGTGGTATAATTCAGAGTAACACCAAACTGGGCATTGTTCTTGAAGGCTTCACAAAGACATTAGTCCATTGCAACATGATCCCTGTGAATTGTTCAAACGGTGATGCCTCCAGTCCTTGTACGCACCTTCTTAACTGTTGTAACCAGTAGAACGAAGGCCAAAGGCAAAATCGAAGCTCCCCAACCTCTTAATTATCGTAATCAGTGGAACATTCAGAGTATCGACCTCTGCATTTGCAGCAATTCCAAAGAAGAGAACAAGAGGGGCGTCGACCTCTGCAGTTGCAGCGGTTCTAGAGAAGAGAACGAGAGGGGTGCCGTCCTTTGCAATTCCGGAGAAGAGAGGCGGTTCCAGAGAAGACAATATATTGCTAAACTTGATGTCATGATGCAACACCACTTGGTTCCACCCATGATACAGGTAATTCAAGCCCTCTGCTACACGGATGAGCACCCTTTGCCATCCCTCCCACCCCAACAGTTGGTTCGGCTTGTCAAAGATCCAACTACTAAAGCTTCCATTAGGCATGTAATCGTAGACCAACATCAACTCGTTGCCTTTCCTGCACCACCCTCTCATGTGGACTAAGTTCTTGTGTTGCAGCCTGCCCATGCTTGAGATCTCGGCCCTGAACTCTCTCAATCCCTGCTTGGGTTCACGGTTGACGCATTTGACTGCAACCTCTGTGTTGTTGTTGGGTAGAGTTCCTTTGTATACTTTTCCAAAACCACCGAACCCTAGAAGATTTTCTTTTGAAAATTCATTCGTTGCTTTGTTAAGCTCTTGGAAGGATAACTAGTGGGGCTAGTACTCAAGCTCCCATTCTTCGATGTTGTCCTCCTCTTCACTTTTCCTCTTCCTTTGCCAAAACCAATAAGTTCCAGAAAAGATTAAAATTATAACAGCGAAAGAAGAAACAATGATTCCTAATATAGATCTCACAGAATATGACGGTTGCGAATGTGAAAGATGTGTAAAGCTTGGCAATTCCGTTGTGTTTATGTCAGGCAAAGTGTCAAATCCTTTATTACTAAAGCTCCAAGCTAAGATCCCTTGGGCTTCTCTCGAAGTGTCCTTTGATGCAAAGAAACCAACAAACATCTCGTTGCATATGTACTCACCTATTCCATTGGCATAATAATTGAATAGAGTTTTAGATGGTCGAGAAACACTTGCAGTAGCAAAATGTTAGCATCCGACCTCTACAATTCTGGCAGTTCCGATGGTTCTATAGAAGAGAATGAGAGGGAAAAGGAAGAGGGGGAAGGTCGTAACTGCAACTCCCTATTGCATTTGACTTCTGCAGTTCTAGCATTTCTTGAGAAGAGAATTAGAGCAAATGGGAGAGATCATAGATCTACGGTGAAAGAGGGGGAGGTCGGAGGTGAAGGGTAAAATTGGGTTTTTAAAAATTTATATGTTATGTGCCTATGAGTTTTGACGTAATATTAACAGAATCTGACAACAAGGGTAGAGTTGGTCAATTTTCAGAAACAATAGGGGTAGTGTTATTCAATTTTCAAACAGTAAGGGTATACTTAGTCAATTAGTTAAACCATAAGGGTAGTTTAAGAAATTTACCCTAATATTATATATTTGATTCCATTGGAGTTTTTTGGAGTGGGCGTTTCAAGAAACAACGCTTAAAAAGGCACTTGTCTACTCATCAAATATAAATGTTTACTCAAATTTTGAGGGTGTTTGGTTCCGTTTTCATTTATGGGTGGCCATTTATTTGTGTTTTTTCACTTTAAACGTTTATTTATACTTTTTCACTTTAAACGTTTTTTACTTTAAACATTTCTTGTTTTTGTTGTTTGGTTGGGCTTCATTTTAAACATTTTTTATTCTTCACCTTAGATTGGGGCATTGGGGAAACAAGAATTTGGCGTTTCCCCAAATGCCCCATGTACAAAAATCAAAGCGTTTCAGTTTTTTACCGTTTATTTGATAAACGGCAAAACCAAACAGTTGTTTCATTTTGCTTTATATTTTATAAACGCCAATGCCTATGTGGCGCTGATGTGGTGGTGTTTTTTCAATAAACGCCAACAGAACCAAACACATACTTTGTGGCTTAGAAGGGCATTTCAGAAATAGGCATCTATGTGATTCAGTGTGGCACATTTCCTTGATATTTGTGTGCCATTAAATCGACCCAATGGTCCAAACTACACTCGCTTGCATATTTTGAGATCCAATGGTTGATTTTGGATGAAAACCACATCCAACGGTCAAAATGACAGCTATAGGGGTGTATGGGTGCCATTGAAGTGATCCCATGGTCCAAACTACCCTTAACGCATCCAACATATCTAGGATATATCCCAATAACAAATAAAAGTTTCAAAATCTTTGACTTGTTACTACACATCAATCTAAGGCATTTTTTGGCATTCCTCTTGCACTAATTATTCCAAAGTGGCCCATGGTGCTAAATTCATTATTGATTGAATATTGTGTAAGGGTTGCTTTTGGAGCTATTACTTGTAGATCCTATAGCTATATGATCTGGTGCCGTTACTTGCTTATCCTAAGATCAGGACTGGGTCTACCATGATATGGAGGTAATATATTTTAGAACTAATTTGAGCAGGCCCTCGATGGTTGCTTTATCTCCTTTGTGACTTTCATTACAATTTTAACGCGGCAGATAAAGAGTCTAATGTCCAAGAAATTGTTCTATGTGGGCAAATTAATTTTTCCCTCATTTTCCCTCTGTTTTTCTTTTTAATATTGATATCTTTCCTTGCCAGAGAGCTATAAAGACTTGGCCTCCACTTTCTCCTTGTTTTTCTAAGAAATTTTCTTCTCAACTGCACTGTTAGACCCAAGTTTTTCAAGGTCAGAGACACGTCATAACTCTGACTTGGCTAATGGTTCCATAGACAGGATAAGCTTCTCCCCTGGGAACAATTTAATGATGGTGTATATAATCTGATTGGAAGGCAAGATTCAATTGGTTCCCCAAATAGTGTGCCATATGGAATTTATCTTTCTCGATCCAATTACTCATCATTAATTCAAGGACCACAAGTTCAAGCAACCATCACCAGAATCAGCATCCAGTGCCTACAATGTCATTCATGAAGAATGCTGGTTCCTCTAAAGAATTGCTTGATGTTGTAGAAGAAACAATTGAGGAGATCCGAGTGGAACCTAGGATGTGGGGAAGCAAAGCCCGAAAGTTATGTTTGAATTGTCACTATGGCACTATTTATTTATACAAGGTAGCATCTATCATGCTGAAAAGATATGATGCCGAAGAACTTAATTTGACCTATCAACCCCCGGGGTTGAATTTTGATGAATACCTGCTAATTGGTTGCCATTTACCACTTTTATGATACTGGTTGAGTGGTTATCTGATTTTTAGATATGATGCATTTCCAATATCATAGTTGGACTCTTCATACAAGTATACTTGTTCAACAATTTATTTGAAGAAGAAAGATAAAGGTTCCTGCAAGGTCAGGGATAAGCTATTGTAAAAAAATTAAATAAATAAAAGATCATTTCCAATTCTATATGCCACCATTTATAGACTATAAAGAGAGTGCTAACCATGTAACTAGGGATCTAATATCTTGGATAAAAGGCTTCACCACATTCTTAATAGGTGCACAGTTCAGCTGTGAAGCATTTAGGTTCAAATAGATTTTTTCCCTTTTTCCAATTTCTTTTCTTTCTGTAAGGTAAGGAGAAATATATTGACATCTAAATAAAGGATGTATAAATGTGCAATGACATCTCCCTCCCCTAAAAAAGAAACTAAGATAAAGAGCTTTCACCATAAAATCTCCCTCTCTTCCCAGAATCTAGCAAGACCATATATCATATTGTCCATATCTGAGGATCCATCTGATAAAGATTGAAATTAATGGGGGTGTTGAGAAGCAGAAACATAAGATAAGTCTGCCCAAAATCTTGAGCTAGTAATACCTACACTTTTGTCATGCAAAAATGTAAATCATTTAAAAGGTGCAAGCATGAGAGGAAAATTTTCAAAATATTTGATGTAGATCCATTAACTAAACCTTAATTTTGTGTGTATATTTGCAGAGTAATAGATGGGCTAAGAAGTATCCAACGAAGGTTTATCATCACTGGGATGAATTGCATTATATCTTTGAGGGGACACATGCAACCGATGAACATGGGTATAGTAATGCTGAAGACCCGAACATTGTGATTGAGCAATCACAACGTGTGAACTCTTCATGATTTGATTCATGCTTTATATTGATTTATGGATCTTATGGTACAGCAATGCCTACTCATAGTGGTCGTGAAACTAGGGTTGAAACTAGCTCATCATCGGATGATGATGAATTGATAGTCAACACGATTGTTATTCCATTATTATTAGAGACATATGCATCGAGATTAACTAAGCAGCCTTGTCGCACCTCATCCCTGACTGTCAGACACAATTATATGTGGCAAGAAATACTAAGTGACATTGAAAACCCGAATAGGTGCTATGAGTCATTTAGGATGGAATGCCAAGTGTTCAAAAACTTTGCTGACCTGCTTAGGGATAGGGGTTTCCTAAAAAGCACAAGATAGACCACAGTTGAGGAGTCTCTTGCAATGTTCCCACTCATCATAAGTCAAAACGATAAAAACCATGTAATGGCAAAGCGATTTCAACATTTAACATGAACCATTAACACCCACATAAAGAAGGTTGTTATAGCAATATGCAAGTTAGGGAATGAGCTCATTACTACACCATCCTTTACAGAGACACCATCACACATCAGAAGATCAGATAGATACTTTTCTATGTTTAAGGTAATTGAATTAGCATATATATGCTTATACCAAATCTTATTATACCGGTGGAGTAAGTGAATGGTGTTATTTGTATCTAGGATTGTGTGGGGGCTATAGATGGCACCCATGTCTAAGCATGTGTATCATGTGACAAGCAAATCCCATTCAAAGGCGATAAGAAGGTTTGCACATCAATTGTCTTGGCCTTGTATGACTTTGACATGATGTTCAGATTTGTATACACTGGATGGGAGGGGTCGACTCATGATTTTAGGATACTTGCAGAAGCTATTGCTAGGCCAAACATCCACTTCCCAATAGCTCCCCCAGGTGAGACTATTCCATCATTATATTTACTACATTTATTAGTAGAATTCATTGTAATGGCTATTTTCTTCGTTATATGCATGCAGGGAAATACTACCTTGTTGATTCTGGCTTTGCTAGTGCACCCGATTATCTTACACCGGATTCAGGTCAGCCCTATCACTTGAGTGAATTTCATGGGCAACGAGGTAGATTTAGAACCAATGAAGACCTATTCAACTATACACACTCATTTCTACGGAACGTAATAGAGTGATGTTTTGGTGTACTAAAGGGTAAATTCCCAATATTGAAGAATATGCCACGTTATGATCTTTCATTGCAACCGTTCATAGTTATGGCATGCTTCGTTACTTATAACTTTAATAGGAGAGAGGCACGTGAGGATGTACATCTAAACATATGGGCCGATGAACAAATGATGGATAATGAAGATGATGAAGCAAATGATGGTGATGGTGGGCACGGCGGTGAACATGCTTCTAGTAGCAACTCTGAAATCAACTTAGTGCAGGATCAAATTGCCAATGAACTATGGGAGAAATATCAGATGACACAATAGCATGTTTGCCGTCTAGTGTAGATTGTGTTCAATTTGTTTTTTTTTGTACATGCATTATACATTGGTCTACTTTGATAACATGCCATTAGCTTACATTACAGAACATGTGCACATTGCTATTGTTAATTCTATTTTTATGTTACCATTAGAATATTCATGATATTGTTTTTACAGTTGCCATATAAAACTATATGTAGATACTAATGACGGAAGGAGTTTCTTTGCCAATGTGCTCATGTGGAGAGGGAAAAATGACAGTGCATATAGCCATGACCGGTAAAAACTATGGACGATGGTTCTTCCGTTGTCCATTAAGAGGAGATCACAGAGGCTCTTTCATATGAGTAGACCAATACAATGGGGGATACCCAACATCCGTTGTTTTGGGGCATGGGTATGCTTGGTTGTTCTTTTATTCCATCTTATGAAATAAAAATGATAAAAATATGGAACCTGTCTAGTAGTGTAGACTTTTTTTGAATTTAACTATGTACAGAAAACTGAATAGATTTCACAATGATGTAGGTTTATATACAAAAACTTATCTGACTTATTAATTATCATTGCAAACTTGTTAGTATGGTTAGTATGGAATATATAAGGGTTTTGTGCTTTTATTTTTATAAATTTTATTGGATGCAATTGAGAGAGAGGGAGAGAGAGAGTAAATTGGGACGTGAAATTTACTTGAATTTGGGCTTTGGTGGGCCCAAGCAAGCTCAAATTGATCTACCTTGCCAATGGTATCTTTGTTATTAAAAAAAAAAAAAAAAGTGATCCGATAAAATGTTGGAAAGAAGATGGATATTGGCAACTTAATAAATGTAAAACAATTCCGTGTTGTTTTGCTCAATTTTCTTTTGAATAACATTAATAGTCATTATAATGATAGATAATATATATATAGAGAGAGAGATAGAGAGAGAGAGAGTCAAAGTGAAAGTGTCATATATCCACCGTTGGATGTGGATTATATCATATATTAACTGTTGGATCTGAAAATCGGTATTCAAATTGAAGCACATGTAATTTAGACCGTTGAATTGACTAATGTATCTTGATGATGTGCAATCCGGTCACCCCTAGCTGGCATTTGCGTGACTCCCGAAAAGTACTTGCGATGGAAAAGAAAAAGAAGAAGAAGAAGAATCCCCGAGGGCTTGCCTAGCGAGAACACTTCGACGCTTAAGTTAGTATTCTGTGGAAGAAGCAAGGAGAGAAAAATGGCTAAGAGTGCAGATAGCGCGAGTGGTAGAAGATACCTCGTTTATTGAGAATAGGCTCCTTAAAACAGAATTCCGTTGCATTAGGCCCACTGGCCTTTGATAGGGTAGGTATAACTGCCACTGTCAGCCTGCCGTAGCCGTTACAGGCAGGGCTGAAGTGGCATGCGCGGGGCCGTCATTGCAGGGTACGTGTCTGTCAGGTGTAAGGCACCTTCTAAAGGTGGCAGGCACGATGCTGCCTGACGAGGGACACGACTGCTGTCCCCAGATTTGTCGGGTACAGTGGGCAGGCAGGAGATCTTCCTGCGATATGCCGAACTACTCTTTCATGAGTTACCCTGTGCCGGGATATCCCGTAAGCGACGAGCTGCCTGTGGCAAGCTATGTCGAGCTGTCTGGCCCGAGGTGTCTTCACCTTGGGGTATCTATAAGCGAATTGGTGTGTTCCCGTCTAGGAGTGGCCCGATGTCCACTAGGAGGAGCTCGGGTATTAGAAAAGGTCAGGGGGCCCCGAGCTCGGGGGCAGCTCGGGGTGCCTTAGCCCCGGGGAGGAGGTGCAGGCCAGGCGGCTCCCGACGAGTAGTCTATCCCACTGAGTTTCTGGGATAAACTCGGTGGGACCTTCCCTCCGAGTTGCGGCTGCGCCTGCTGTACTGTCACGCTAAGTCATCGCTTAAGCAAGATCACGCCCACGTGTACCCATGCTACGAGGTCGGGCCAAATCACCCTCCATCATATCTTATAGATCACAATGAAAGTGTGATATTGAAACATCTATATGGCTGTTTCTTGAAACGCTCACCAAATAGCATGAAATGGAAAAACGTTCATTGTTGTTGAAGTATAAAAGGGCATTTCAAACTTAACCAAACATAGAGAAAAACGTTTAAAGTGGGCGTTTATTAGATAAAGGTTTTTCTGATAAATGCCCACCCAATAAATATAAACGGAACATACTTTGTAGTGACGGCACTGACGGGTGAGAGGGGCCCTCTGATAGATTCGAGGCTATAATGTTTCCCTCGTTGGCTGGTGTGTCGTTCGTTCGAGGAACCAAAATAAACTCATTGCAAATTTGCAATATGGCATGCAACCAACGAAGGCCGCTGCTGTGACGTTCTCCCGTTTCGCCCGCCACGTACCCATGTAGCTTGATAGGTGGCGACACCAGTCACCACTCCCATGTTTTTTTCCGTATTCGTTTTCATTGCCCTTCTTCTTCTTCTTCTTCTTCTTCTTCTCTCTCTCTGTATGTTGTGACGTTGCGTGTTGTTCTCAGATGAATCGATGAACAAAAAGTTCTGAGATGCATCCACACAGCTTACTCGCTTCAGCGGCTGTTAATATAAGCCTAGCCTGTATTGTTGTTTCACTCTTCTCCATCTTAAAGAAACAACCTTCAAATGCCTTATTTTACTATGCTCGTCGTCTCTCGGAGCAAGAAAGCGTCCCTTTCGATCGTGGCTTCACTTTTGCTCGATTCGTCCCTTCATTTTCTTGGATTCAACGTGCTCTTCGGGTTTCTGAAGAAGAAATTCTCGAAAACAGCGGCCTCGATGCTCTCGTTCTCATCAGACTCTTCAAACTTGGGTCCGATTCTCTATTTTATCCTCTTCTAGTTTCAGTCTTTCAGACTCTCAACTATTCCATGTTCATCTCTGTTTGCCTTTGCCATTAAACGACGATGCTTATTTGATTTGAAATTTCCGATTTACGTTTTTATTTGATTTTGTAAGGAAGCAGTGATACCAGATACCTATGAGGCTATGATAGAAGATGCCACAAAACATTTTCAAGAAACAAAATGAATTCGGTGAGAGGTATTGCGGGATCTAACACAGTAAAACTCTAGAACTCACCAAGTTGAAACTTATCCTGTGAAGAACATCCGTTTATATATTGAACAGTGTGGTAATGTTTTTTGTAAGGATCACGATACATGTGGTCTCAGTCACCCCTTCCGTACTTTGTGTGTGATAAGCTGCACCAAAGTCATCTGAAGCCTGTGAGGTTCTGATTTTATCAATCATCATCTAAGTCTTGTCCCAACTGTATGTGGTCGGCTACATTAACCTTGTTTCTCCATTCCGTCCTCCGTCCTGTTGGGTATCATATCGATCGTTGAATTATGGGAGCTTAAATAAATTTCATGTGTATACCAGTTGGACAAGGTTTGGCCATTAGTTATCACTTATGAGGATGGTGATTGGTGATCTATGTCCTTGACCAGAATGAATGGTACTATTTAACATCTAAGTTGAAACTGTTCCCCTCGTATAATCATAAGTGCCCAGGAAAAAGACATAACATAGGCTAGTAGAGTGTCATATGGCCAGTAAAAAACTTTGTGTTGATGAGTTCTGGGAATGTTAGGGTTATCGATTATCAGAGGTGATTCTTGAAGAAGATAAAGATATTCTATATTGCAATGGAAAGAGATTACCAATTGAAACCATTTAAACCATTCCCATAGCCACTAACTAGTGACAAATATGAAGAGACACACGAATGCAGGTGTGGAAAAGGGAAATAATTCTTGGAAGAAAAAAAATCAGGTTTCTTTAAGTTCCTTAATTAGTGGCAATTTCATAGTTTTTGGGTGATCTGGATTTTGGTCAATTTGAGTTTTTTTGGCTTTTAAAATTATATTCTAGTTTGTTGGAGTCAAATTTAAGGAGCCAAAACTTTTTTTGGCTTAATTTTGGTATAGATTTTTCATTTACCTATCCCATTAGACCAAGAAATTGTGAATCTAATGCATTTTGGGAAAGTTATATTCATCTTATTAATAGGATGTGAGTCTATGATAGGATCAGAAAGTTTCTATGTTTTGGATGTATCTTGAAGATATGTTTCTTTTGTTTGGTTTTAGTATGATTGGTAATTGGTATTTAGACTTGGTTTAGGATTTAGAACCAATATTTGATTTTCTTTTATGTGTTATATTTTAGTTTGCTTAGTTCTGTAGCAATTGGTAGTTGCTTCTGGTCTTTTTGGTCAATTTCCTAGTCCAAATTGAAGAGTTGATATGATGAACAAAAGTTTGGTTTAGTGAATTATGGTTGTAACCAGGTCCCCCCCGTGTTTCCACTTCCAATTCTCCAATCCAAACACAACCTTGCAACCTTGAACAATTTTCAACTTTTGTGTATTTTTTGATAATAAATTAATAACTCAAAATTAAAGAAAAAGGGAGCTAGAAGAATCATACTAACATTGTGTTCCCTTCAAAATAAAAGCCCAAAGAGATGTACAATTATACAAAAAAAAACAAAGCTTTTGAACCCTAGAGGTATATCAATTAACAATAGGCAGAAGTTTATTGTCAAAGAGGGGAGATGACCAATCCTATCAAGAGATAAAAATATCAACTCCCATCCTTGTACCATGATACCACATGACAAACCTGCCCATCACCAACAGTCAAACCAACCACTATGTATTTTTTTTCCTCTAGAACACATGCTGCTAACTCTAGAATTTCTGGGGTATCATCTCAAAAGCTTCATTGCCATAAGCATCAACTTAACTAACCTAACCACTTTCTTCTCCCTTCTCCTCTGCTTCTCCAGGAACAATTACCTCACAATCCAAATCCCTGGCAAGGGTATCACCTTCATCAACCAAAGACCTGTAGCTCTGATGAACCCGACAACCTCCAAACATCTCAGTCAGTATTAAATAATACTATTTTTATTTTATTCTTCTAACTATAGTGGAGACAAACTCAGTCTAATCCCTTCCTTTTTTTGCTGTCTAACTACTATGGTTACATTAGTCAATTATTAATTTTTTTTCTGGTTCTAGGCTTCTAGCATGGTCAGTAGTAGTGCTGAGACCTAGTTCAAGAAAGGACATAATTTGAGTATAGTTTAATTTTCCATTTCACAATTGTAAGTAAGATTTGTTTTGCAGAATCATTTTCTTCTTGGGTTGTTCCATTGTTGGATTGGCTATACTTCTCCCTGTCAATTACACCTGCAAACGAGATTCTTCTACAATCAAATTCTCACACACCATGGATTCTTTTACAATATCTAATATTACTAGAGGCTCTGATAGGTGAGGCTTTTTTATTCTGTAAGTTCATCCATATTTGCATTGGGAAATATTGAAAAACAACAGGTTATGGGTGTTATCGCAAACTATAGTCTATTGTTGTGATTTTCAACTTTTAAGTGCCGAAGTTCTACCTGGCTTAGTTGGTAAGGTATCTGTCTGGTTCTAGTAGAGACCTGGGATTGATTCCCGCCTTAACCAGGGTTGGGGGTGTTATAGATTATGGGGATTTATGTAACTTCATGGAATAAAAAGAAAACAAAATTTTTAGGGTCCATTTGATAACAGCTGGAGTTGTCAAACTGAACAATTTACTGTTTTGAATATTTTATTATTTAATTATTTTATCCACTAAAAGACAAAGGTTAGTAATCTATCCAGATTCAGATTTGGCCATTTAAGGAGCTCACAACCCACTTAAAAACTTATTCTCCAAAACACAAAGTAATGAGCTTTTCAGTTCAGCCACTTCAGCCATTATCAAACAGTCCCTAGTGGCTTGGTCTTTTTTTTGTCCATTCAGACTGAAAGAAGTAATGCTGAATTATACTTCTATAAGTTTGTTTATAGCCAAAATGAAAAGATAAAAGAATTCAATGCCCTTTGATGATTAAAGAGGCACCCATGAATGACCAATGTATGGAATTAATAGTTCCAAACAAAACCCGATTCCATGGTAGAAAAACAAAATTGTAGTTAAAAGACAGTTGCTGAGGATATCATGCATAAATGTTTGCATAAAAAATTATTTATCAGATTATTCAATCACCTGAAGCAGGTCTTGTAGCCAAATTAATTTACATGTAGTATAGGCTATAGTCCTTTACTTGATGACTTCAGTACTACTTCATGCATACACTATGTTTCCTACTTTTCCAGGTGACTATTTTCTCCTAGAGAAAGTATATACCCTGTAGTGGACTTCCTATTGGAATACAACTGGCTTAATCAACATCTATGTGTACTCTTTGATCTCCATGTGATGATTGTCCTCACACCAAATCCAGGAGTATTGATATATTCATCCTTGAGTAGATCAAATACATAATTCCTTTGTTTCTAATTGACGCCTTTAATTGATGTAGCCACTTTGGTTTAAAAATTCTATTGTAGAAAGTGTTTGAGCTTCTCTATGCTATGGACATCACTCCCAATGACAATATCATCAACATTGTAAACAATACCAGTTATTAGAGAGAGAAGAATAGGGAATTGATATAGAGAATATAAAAGAGAAAGAAGTGGAAACTGGAGAGTCGAACAAACATAGGGAGAGAAGAGAGGAAAGAGTCAGTCCCTAGCCTGTTGACCTCTCTCTTTATATTAATAAAAAGGTGATTACAATTATTTCCCTGATTACAGTAATTTTAGGATTGGAGTGTCCTTATAACAAAGACTGAAATTGCCCAGCTGCCCAAATACTTTAAGAATAAATGATAATTCCAACACCCTCCTCAGGCTGGAACATATATATCACATCGACCCAGCTTGCTGCAAATCTAGTCCATCTGACTTTTACCAAGACCTTTAGTAAACAAATCCGTCAATTGATCTTTTGATTTCATGTAGGGCATCACAATGTCTCCACTTAGAACCTTCTCTTGTACAAAATGACAATTTACCTCATTATGCTTCATTCTTTCATGGAAGAGAGGATTGGAGGCTATAATTTTAGGACTACGATGCTCTTATAACAGAAAATTAAAAGACAATTTCCCAGCTGCCCAAATACTTTAAGAATAAAGGACACCTCTAACAAACATAAACTACTAGCATAATGTTTTTAGAGTCTGTGACATAACTGAACACAAAATGGTTAACCAGGTTCTGTTTCATCCTAAATTTCTTTATTACTTTACTATATTTTTCAAATCAATCTCTTAGCAACTGCGTCAGCCCATGTATTATTTTGCAAATAGTTTTCACATCATATTTGACTCCCCCTTTAGCAATAAACCTAGGAGGTTGCTCAATATACATCTTTAGTCCTCATGTAAAAACACACTTTTATTGTTACATTGGAATAAGGAACACCCAAATTAGTTGATGAAGAAATAACAACCCTAGTAAAGCTAACCTTAGCTAAAAGAAAAAAAGGTCTGAAATAATTTACTCCATACATTTTGGTGTGT